CAAGCCCCGCCCCCCCGGACCTTCTCGAAGCCCTCCTTGCTGAGGGCGTCGTTCCAGCTCTTCATGAACTCTCCGGGGAACTTGTCCTTGGAGAAGACGCCGAGGCGCCGCCCGCCCCGGCTGCCCCTCAGCGCCTCGATCAGCTTCTCAAAGTTGGCCTTGTTGCTCTCGTTCTGCCGGGGGGCGGGGCCAAGGTGGGGGAGGGGCCAAGGAGGGCGGGGCAGGGCGGACACGCCCAGCCCCAGGTTCTCAACCCAGCCCCAACGTTCTCAGGGTTGTCCAAAGGTCCCCAAAATGACCAAAAGTGACCCCAAAAATGACCCGAAGTGACCCCAAAATGACCAAAAGTGACCCCAAAATGACCCAAAAAGAGCCCAAAGTGACCCCCAGGACCCCATAAAGACCCAAAACGACCCAAAGTGACTCAAAATGACCCAAACCTCCCAAAATGACCCCAAAATCACCCAAAATGACCCAAAGTGACCCCAAAATGACCCAAGAGACCCCCAAGACCCCATAAGGGCCCCAAAATGACCCGAAGTGACCCCCCCAGGACCCCATAAAGAACCCCAAGACACCAAAGAGAACCCCAGGATCACAGAGTGACCCCCAGGACCCCATAAGGACCACCTTCTCGAAGCCCTCCTTGCTGAGGGCGTCGTTCCAGCTCTTCATGAACTCTCCGGGGAACTTGTCCTTGGAGAAGACGCCGAGGCGCCGCCCGCCCCGGCTGCCCCTCAGCGCCTCGATCAGCTTCTCAAAGTTGGCCTTGTTGCTCTCGTTCTGCCGGGGGGCGGGGCCAAGGTGGGGGAGGGGCCAAGGAGGGCGGGGCAGGGCGGACACGCCCAGCCCCAGGTTCTCAACCCAGCCCCAACGTTCTCAGGGTTGTCCAAAGGTCCCCAAAATGACCAAAAGTGACCCCAAAAATGACCCGAAGTGACCCCAAAATGACCAAAAGTGACCCCAAAATGACCCAAAAAGAGCCCAAAGTGACCCCCAGAACACCAAAGTGACCCCCAGGACGCCATAAAGACCCAAAATGACCCAAAGTGACACCAAAATGACCCAAAAAGAGCCCAAAGTGACCCCCAGGACCCCATAAAGACCCAAAACGACCCAAAGTGACTCAAAATGACCCAAACCTCCCAAAATGACCCCAAAATCACCCAAAAAGACCAAAAATGACCCAAAGTGACCCCGAAATGACCCAAGAGACCCCCAAGACCCCATAAGGGCCCCAAAATGACCCGAAGTGACCCCCCCAGGACCCCATAAAGAACCCCAAGACACCAAAGGGAACCCCAGGATCACAGAGTGACCCCCAGGACCCCATAAGGACCCAAAAATGACCTCAAAATGACCAAAAAACACCAAAATTGACCCCAAAATGACCCAAAGTGACCCAAAATGACCCAAAATCCCACCTTCTCCCGGACCAGCAGGGTGATGGCTGGCAGTGTGTTGGTGGCCCCCAGAAACCAAAAATAGCCCCAAAATGACCCCAAAATGACCAAAAATTACCCCAAAATGACCAAAAAAGACAAAAAATGACCCAAAAAGGACCCCAAAATGACCCAAAATCCCCCCTTCTCCCGGCCCAGCAGGGTGATGGCCGGCAGCCCGTTGGTGGCCCCAAAACAGCCCCAAAATGACCAAAAATGACCAAAAATGACCAAAAATGACCAAAAATGACCAAAAATGACCAAAAATGACCAAAAATGACCAAAAATGACCCAAAAAGGACCCCAAAACGACCCAAAGTGACCCAAAATGACCCAAAATCCCACCTTCTCCCGGACCAGCAGGGTGATGGCCGGCAGCCCGTTGGTGGCCCCAAAACAGCCCCAAAATGACCAAAAATGACCAAAAATGACCAAAAATGACCCAAAAAGGACCCCAAAACGACCCAAAGTGACCCAAAATGACCCAAAATCCCACCTTCTCCCGGACCAGCAGAGGGATGGCCAGGAGCCCGTTGGTGGCCCCAAGGACCCCAAAACAGCCCCAAAATGACCCCAAAATGACCAAAAAAGACCCAAAAAGGACCCCAAAATGACCCAAAGTGACCCAAAGTGACCCAAAATCCCACCTTCTCCCGGACCAGCATAGTGATGGCCGGCAGCCCGTTGGTGGCCCCCAGAACCCCAAAATAGCCCCAAAATGACCAAAAATGACCAAAAAAGACCAAAAATGACCCAAAAAGGACCCCAAAACGACCCAAAGTGACCCAAAATGACCCAAAAATGACCCAAAATCCCACCTTCTCCCGGACCAGCAGGGTGATGGCCAGCAGCCCGTTGGTGGCCCCAAAATGACCCCAAATCAGCCCCAAAATGACCCCAAAATGACCAAAAAAGACCAAAAATAACCTGAAAATGACCCAAAATGACCAAAAAAGACCAAAGATGACCCAAAAAGGACCCCGAAACGACCCAAAGTGACCCAAAATGACCCCAAAATGACCCAAAATCCCACCTTCTCCCGGACCAGCAGGGTGATGGCCAGCAGCCCGTTGGTGGCCCCAAAATGACCCCAAATCAGCCCCAAAATGACCCCAAAATGACCAAAAAAGACCAAAAATAACCTGAAAATGACCCAAAATGACCAAAAAAGACCAAAGATGACCCAAAAAGGACCCCGAAACGACCCAAAGTGACCCAAAATGACCCAAAATCCCACCTTCTCCTGGACCAGCAGGGTGATGGCCAGCAGCCCGTTGGTGGCCCCAAAATGACCCCAAAATGACCCCAAAACGACCAAAAAAGACCAAAAATGACCCAAAAAGGACCCCGAAACAACCCAAAGTGACCCAAAATTACCCCAAATTGACCCCAAAATGACCCAAAATCCCACCTTCTCCTGGACCAGCAGGGTGATGGCCGGCAGCCCGTTGGTGGCCCCCAGAACCCCAAAATAGCCCCAAAATGACCAAAAATGACCAAAAAAGACCAAAAATGACCCAAAAAGGACCCTGAAACGACCCAAAGTGACCCAAAATGACCCAAAAATGACCCAAAATCCCACCTTCTCCCGGACCAGCAGGGTGATGGCCAGCAGCCCGTTGGTGGCCCCCAGAAACCCAAAATAGCCCCAAAATGACCAAAAATGACCCAAAAAGGACCCCAAAATGACCCAAAGTGACCCCAAAATGACCCAAAATCCCACCTTCTCCCGGACCAGCAGGGTGATGGCCAGCAGCCCGTTGGTGGCCCCAAAGTGACCCCAAAACAGCCCCAAAATGACCCCAAAATGACCAAAAATGACCAAAAATGACCCAAAAAGGACCTCGAAACGACCCAAAGTGACCCAAAATGACCCAAAATCCCACCTTCTCCTGGACCAGCAGGGTGATGGCCAGCAGCCCGTTGGTGGCCCCAAAATGACCCCAAAACAGCCCCAAAATGACCCCAAAATGACCAAAAAAGACCAAAAATGACCCAAAAAGGACCCTGAAACGACCCAAAGTGACCCAAAATGACCCCAAAATGACCCAAAATCCCACCTTCTCCTGGACCAGCAGGGTGATGGCCGGCAGCCCGTTGGTGGCCCCCAGAACCCCAAAATAGCCCCAAAATGACCAAAAATGACCAAAAAAGACCAAAAATGACCCAAAAAGGACCCTGAAACGACCCAAAGTGACCCAAAATGACCCAAAAATGACCCAAAATCCCACCTTCTCCCGGACCAGCAGGGTGATGGCCAGCAGCCCGTTGGTGGCCCCAAAATGACCCCAAATCAGCCCCAAAATGACCCCAAAATGACCAAAAAAGACCAAAAATAACCTGAAAATGACCCAAAATGACCAAAAAAGACCAAAGATGACCCAAAAAGGACCCCAAAACGACCCAAAGTGACCCAAAATGACCCCAAAATGACCCAAAATCCCACCTTCTCCCGGACCAGCAGGGTGATGGCCAGCAGCCCGTTGGTGGCCCCAAAGTGACCCCAAAACAGCCCCAAAATGACCCCAAAATGACCAAAAATGACCAAAAATGACCCAAAAAGGACCTCGAAACGACCCAAAGTGACCCAAAATGACCCAAAATCCCACCTTCTCCTGGACCAGCAGGGTGATGGCCAGCAGCCCGTTGGTGGCCCCAAAGTGACCCCAAAACAGCCCCAAAATGACCCCAAAATGACCAAAAAAGACCAAAAATTACCCAAAAGGAGGACCCCAAAATGACCCAAAATCCCACCTTCTCCCGGACCAGCAGGGTGATGGCCAGCAGCCCGTTGGTGGCCCCAAAATGACCCCAAAACAGCCCCAAAATGACCAAAAAAGACCAAAAATGACCCAAAAAGGACCCCAAAATGACCCAAAATCCCACCTTCTCCCGGACCAGCAGGGTGATGGCCAGCAGCCCGTTGGTGGCCCCAAAGTGACCCCAAAACAGCCCCAAAATGACCCCAAAATGACCAAAAAAGACCAAAAATTACCCAAAAGGACCCCAAAACGACCCAAAATGACCCCAAAATGACCCCAAATCCCACCTTCTCCCGGACCAGCAGGGTGATGGCCGGCAGCCCGTTGGTGGCCCCCTCGTTGCCCTTGCCCTGGGCCACCTGCTTGAGGAACTCGACCTTCTTGCGGCTGGCCAGGAAGAGAGCGCGCTCCTCGCAGAACAGCATCACCGTGTCGGTCAGCTCGTAGCCGAAGAGCCACGTCTGGGGACGGGGACATCGGGGTCACCCCAAAAAGTGACACCCCAAAACACAGAAAGCCCAAAAACCCCACAGAAATAGCCCAAAAAATGAGCCAGGAACACCAAAAAATGGGACAGGAACACCAAAAACCAACAGGGCCCCTCCCCCACCTGCCAGCTGGCGTAGAGCCGCCGCAGCCGCCTCGAGAAGGCCTCGCGGTCCAGGCTCAGCGCCATCAGGGGGCCCAGCCGGGGCCAGCGGCCCCTCCCGGGACCCTCGGCTCCTCCGGGATCCGCCCCCTTTTCCCGGGACTCGCGCGAGTCCCTGGGGGGAACCTCCGCTTCCGGGGCGGCGGGAAAAGGGCGGGGGGGGGGGGGGGGGGGGGGGGTCAGCGCGTCACGTGAGCGCGAGAGGCGGGAAAAGGGGGCTCTGAGGGGAGAGGGTCACGTGAGCGCGAGAGGCGGGAAACTGCGGGGGGGGGGAGGCGGCCCTTTCTTGTGAACGGCAAAAAAACGGAAAACGGAGGAAGGAGAGAAAGGGGAAATACCGGGAGGGAAGGCCGGGGGAAATCGGTAAAACCGGTGTGGGGGAAACGGTTCCTTCCTCACGTGACGGGGCGATGGAGGAGGAGGGGGCGTGGCGGCGGTTTTTTCAGAGTCACGTGATCGGGAGAGAGGCGGGAAAAGGCGGCGCGAGACGCCGGCATCACGTGACACGGGAATGGCGGAACGGGGCGGGAACGGCGGCGGCCCGGTGTCACGTGACGGCCGTGAGGGGGGGAATGGCGCCGCCTTCAGGGTAACGGGAGAGGCGGGAAACGTGAAGGGGAGGAGAGGGGTGGGGGAGAAACTCGGGAGAACCGGGAGAGGAAGCGGCTCCTGTCCCCTGTGGCGGGAGAGGAGGGGAAAAGGAAGCGAGGGCGCCGCGGTTACGTGAAACGGGATTTCAATAAAAAATTAAAAAAAAAAAAAGAATTAAAAAGTAAAAGAACGGGGAGGAGAAATGGCGCCGCCCCTGCGTCACGTGATGGCGGAGAGGAGGGGGGGGAATCGTGAGGGGACATGGTCACGTGATCAGGGAGAGGCGGGAAAACCGTGAGGGGAGCTCGGGGAGCGCCCCCTGCCGGCGGGAGAGGGAAACGTCAGCGTGGGGATCTTTAATTACCGCGGGTGTTTAATTAAAGGTGCTAATTAAGGCGCGGGACGAATCAAAGGAGGCGAGGCACTTAATTAGCGGGTAATTACGAGGAAATCACTCGCAGCACCCACTCCATTTCCAAACCTTTTATTAAAAAAAACCCCCACCAGGCCCCTCCCATCCCGCCAGCCCTGCCCACATTGACCCCGCCCCACTCGGCCCCGCCCCGCTCGGCCCC